CACTCGCTCTCATGAGCAATTGGTAATACCCATCGACCAAGTCAAGTGCACTGTACTTTGTACATCCAACCAAGTTGTTCTGAAGAGCATCCTTCCTAGGATCAGCGTCTGTGCTGGATTGATGGCAGCGTTGACCTTTTGTAAGCTTGAACGATACGCCACTTGCCGTTCGGGTTCCGGACAAACGTGGGCGTCGAATGGGGAGACTTTCTCTCACGCACAATTCCTGCGTCGTGCTTTGCATAAAAGAAGGTGTCAATGACGTCACTCTACTCCTTGGGTAGGGGTCATTGGCGTGATACGCATTATTTTGTTGAACTCATGGCGCACACCCGCCCGAGGTAAGACCGACGGCAGGTCTTTTGGGACGGCGTCTTAAAACTCCTTCATTAAGGGATAGTATGAGCCCAAGGAATCCTTCAGGATCGAAGATCCACTTCGTGCGCTCAACACCCTCTTGGACTTCATACAGAATCGACAACGAGTTAATCTCTTCTTCCAGTTGTATAATGACCACTTCGGTTAAGTCGCCTGCCTTTAAGGCACCGCCAAGCTCATCGAAGGACATCTCGTCCAGCTCATGAAGAGCATCCACCGCAGGAATAGCCTCGAGGGTGACGTCGCCACCTTTCTCCCCTGACATACCCATAAATGGGTTTATAGCTGTGCGCTATCGTCTACGGCAGACACATCCTGGGTCAGGGTGGATGCCCGACGTCTTGCAGCAAGCATATGGCGCTGCCGTCCCCTCCTCACATATGTTTTACGTCTCGGCGAGTATAGTGTGAACACGCACTCAGTGTCGTCCAGTGTTAGCCTCACTTCTTGCTCCCAGGAGTCTGATGTTATTAACAACATCTTGACAACACTCCCACTCAACTGAACTGTCTTCGATGCTTGATTGCCGAGCATACTTCGAAGAGCAAAAAACTGGCTCGCGAGAACTGCCTTGGTCATTATATCCGCCAACATGTCAGACGTTGAAATGTACTCGAGAGCAAGTTGACCGTCTTAACCTGGCGATCAAAATGGCAACGAATGTCGATGTACTTTGTGCGCTTGTGAAACTTGGGGTTCATCGCGAGTACAATATCGAATTGATTGTCTTCAAATTTTTGACTGCATCCTAGCCCCGCAGTCTTCGTCCAGTGGATAACGTGCCGTTCCACCCGCATCTGAAGGGCCCTGTCCAAGATGCTTCGGACCTCGTCCGACCATGCCGCTCATAATTCGATACTTGAGAAGCGCTCAGTGGGTTACGTGCCATCCCACCTACATCACTGGGGCCTCGCACTCGATTCCTCGGCCCTTGGCCGACCATACCACGCTTGGCATGCAGCGACTGCTCCGATACTTGAGCAGCGATCAGTGGGTTACGTGCCACTCCACGATCAGCCCGCGGCTCGGGACTCCTGTACGATACATCTTCAGGGTTCGGCAATTCGAGTACTTCGATCTCCAGTACGTTGATCGTCTTCGTCTAGTGCCCGCGCCAATAACGTTTTTCGTTTTTGACTCCTAGCAGAGGTGGGTTAATGAATCACCAAAGCTCTACCAGGAGACGTGCAAGTAGCGCCCAAGGTCTTCGACGTTTTAATTCATTCATGGCTCATGGCGCTCTAACCATGCAATACCAAGGATGAGGTCATACCTTGAATCCAGGTCTAAAACTAAACAGCATTTCACGCTATCAAAGTCAAGAAACTTGATGCCGAGATCCACAGAGCTCTCGGCTGTCCCTGTCGCTAAGCGAACAGTGACGATGTCTTTTAACCGCGCTTTCAGCGCTTCATCATACAGCTGACTTCCTTCCATCGTGGAGCGTCGAGCATACGACGCCCCGGAGTCGATCAGAATCTTCCATGGCTTCTCAAGGCCCATCATGGTCCCTTTCACGACCAGCAAGGCCGGCTTGCATACTGTTCAAGAGCACGGAGATCATCGGGGCTGTGTCCTGCTGACCTCACCCTCTTTGAGGCTCAACAGAACTCAGTTTTTCCCAGTACGGCAACCCGCGCCTACTGGGTGTTGTTGTTTACCCGCGACGAACCAGAAGACTGGTATGAAGCGGGATGTCGGTTCGATAAACCTTGACGCGCCTTGCGCAGAAGGCAATAAATCCAAAGGTGACCAATGTCTTCACAGACAAAACACCGTTGAGTGTTCGAACGCTGCTCGATAGCTCGAAGCTCAGCCTCCTCATTCTCAGCATAGCTGAGTTCCATCGGCTCAGGCCGGCTCGACAGTCTGCTATTATGTTGTGCGTTCTGACCAAGTCGTGCTGACTAAAGTAGAATTCGGCATTCAATGTCACATTCAATGCTTCTTCCAAAGAAGATAGATGCACATTGAAGACTTCCTTTCTGGCCACGCCAGTCCATAAAGACGGTCACTGTGACTGCCTCAGGGAGAGGATGGACTGCCATACCGGTAATGGGAGTACGCAATTCGTGGACAAAGTCCACAAAATTTTTCTTGCCCTGGCGAACGCACGCGATATGCCTAGTTAAGCGGCGAGAATACTTGTAAATGCTGTAACTTCAGCCCCGTCCAGGAGGGAAACGCCGTATCGGCCGAAGTGCCGCAACTCAGTCAGAGCCCATTCTTTCGCTCGACCACCCAGCTTGGAGGTAGCTAGCGCCACGCACTGTTGCTCGGTCTAGATCATAGCGGACCTTTTAGTCATCTGAACCTCTCTCACCAGAGCAGCAAATTCTCTCCATCCTTGCCCTCGAAGGTCTTAACGCTCACCACGAGCGGCTTGGTTCGGGAGAAATCATCCATCGACGGTGGCGTCATGGACGCAGTCGATGCCGACATCTTCTGCTGTAGGTGCTCTAGCTGAGCATTTTCATAGCTAGAAAACGCCTCAAGGCGCGCGCTAATCGCTTTATGCCCATGCGAAGCGAGGTGTTGCACGCCCTCAGGGCCAAGCAGAGACGTCAGCTTTTTATGCCCGTCCTGCATGCCCTGGGGAAAATAGGAGAACTGCTCAATCCTCACAGAAGATGAGTCGTAACGACTCGGATGTAGATTAACTACAAGTGCTACCAAGTGCAGCGGGGCTGCCGTAAATCTTTCGCTTTAAGGAAGCTAAACTAAGGTCGGTGACCTTCGTTCTACGCTTAGAACCAGTGCGGATCGCAATCCGCTTACTCCAAGAGTAACCACAACCTTAACCCAAGGCAAATAAACTCTTCCGTAAACTGTATTTGTAATGCGTCAACGCCGCATCTATAGGTTCTCCTAATTAAATAGTAAACCTAATTAAGATGCATAACTTTTGGCAGTCCAGACTTCTTGTTTAAGTGTAGCCACACCATTGTGCGATTACACCCTCTTGTGTAACCCACACCCTTGTTTGGTCATATTTGACTTACAACATCATATGTAACCCTGTTACACGGGCAAAGCTAAGGGAACATAATTTGAGCATTCAAATTTGCTATTTACAAACATCTATAAGCGTTTTATCCTCAATAAAAATTCTGCTAAATAGTTAGCGCGAGATACGTGCTTTTTTATAGTATCATCGCTCTGTTGACGTGCCTAGTAAAATACTTTACTATGGTTCCCGATCCATATCAGGGTATGGATTGACGAAGAAATCATAGGAGATGAGAGAATTTACAATCTGCAGGGCCGCTGTCCGACAAACTACACACGACGCATTTTGCACCAAGGCTGCTCTTACACCACTTAACTTGAAAAATTGCCACTGCAAGAGTTTGTGCTTGTGTGGTTGGTTTAGCGTACTTCCTCAACTATAATTAGTGCATTAGTGCTCCATCTCACATTATTCTTTCAAGTCCAATTTTCTTGCTTTTGGTAAAAAAGAAGGATGATTTGATGCACTTCGGCTGTTGTGATGTACGAAGGTATACTACAAAAGCTTTGCGCAGCGGATACTATGCGAACATACATCTATAATGAATGCAGCCGTGTGCACTACGATTTTACTAACTCTAAGAGATCTAATTCACGGGCATATACAGCTTGCTTTCAATACGGCGATTCTCGCGTCGACGGCGGAGAAACGTTGCCGTCCAAGCAACGCTGACATATACGCCAATTATGAAAAATGGAATCATGAAAACCCATGAAATTGGGTTTAAAAGCACCCCAGTGAAGTCATTCGATGTTCTGCTCGTCTGTACATGATTAGCTGCCAGTGCAGCACCCGATCGCAACGTGTGCCCCGCACCGTTGTGGTGCCTCGAGTAGTAAATGTTTATCTCCATGGAAGAGTCATCATTCATGCCTTCGTCATTATCCCCACCTTCATTATCCAGCCCTTCGACTCTCGTTACAGGCACAGATGCAATTCTCGTGGGCACTGTGCTTAAAGTTGACAGCGTATTCACACATTCTACAGATAGCACGTCAGCGTGCGCGGTCATGCACATACGAATCATATGCACGGCTTTAACAATTTTGCGAGGCTCCACTTCATCTGGTACCTCACGCAGCAGCGCCGCAATGTTGACTTCTTTTTGGCAAAATGCAGCTAGATCTTGGGCACATGCTGGGTCCGTCGTCACATCACGTGAATCTTCCCCCTCTTTTGCCGTCTTAGTTATCAAACTTGTCTGCTTTGTTTGCTTTTCTGGCTCCTTCTGCTTGATCAGTTCCGAATGCGAGTGCATAATGCTGCAATGCTGAGAATTAAAACGACGCTCTAGTGGTGGTAGAACTGCAACGTAGTAAAAGCGATTCTTTCACTTTTGCTGAATGTATGACGAATATTCAATATTAAACCTGACTCGTCTGCCTAAATTTATTTTGTCATGAAAGCTGGCTTCGTCGGTAATTGTGATAATCTCTTCGCTTATGGCTACAACCAGAGAGCACTATCATCAATTTATACTTACAGTGATCATATAAAGGCTGCGACTTCAAAGCGCTTTTACGGTGGTGTGTAAGATACGAGAACAAAAATTTAGTCATGCTCATTATCTAACAAAGCAAAAACTTATAGGACGGGTGGCAGAACAATAGCTATAATAAAGACTACGACGTATCGGCGACGACGAGCAATGCACGCAGAAAAACTGACAGCATCGACTTAAACAGAGCACATTAGTGGTTTCTGTGTCGCAGGCAAGTAAGTTTGCGCTTAAAGACCCGGCAGCTTGATGGCTGTACAAGATGTCGACTCACGACAATATCAACTCAGCGTGTGGTGGTGTTGGTGCGCGAAGAAATGGAGCTCGACAAACACCTCAAAACGATCCTTTCGCATTCGCACACAAGAGTGATTAAGTTACTTCACTACTTGCCAGACGTGTTTGATGAAAAAAATATAAACGACATCGATCTCATTTTTTCGTGGCGTTCTATCACGAATGCATGTAGACGCCTTGGCCTTACTGGTGGCCTTAGAAACTAAACTTGTTAGCTCCTCGCACCTCCGCCTTTTATATTTGCGATGAGCACTTTTATGAGAATTGAATTTATACAAAAGGTATTGAAAAAGTTGAATATTTGAAGACTGAACATACGGATTCTTCCAGCATTCGTTTGAACAGATTTTTTACATACACAAGCCCTTCCTCTATCAACAACATTTTTCCGATAAGACTGTAAAGCGAGCATCACAATCTAATTTCCTAAATGGTAAATGTAGAATGTCAGTGTGAGAAACCTCTTCTCTTCTCTCTTCAAATTTACGGCCATGTCGATCATGAAGCGTAGGTCAAAATTTGACATGTTTCACTAAACAAAGTGAACATGATTTATCATTTTGCTGCCGCTTCCCTTGCATATAGAACTTTGATGAGGTGTAGAACTTTGTAGCACGAATTGGCTGTTGCAAGCGCACAACACGAATTCTCTCCATTTGAGCGACTTTCAGTCTGACGATTAAATCAATGAAATGTATAAAACTTAAAGGTTTGCAATCGAGTGGGTAAATTCGTCAGATAGACAATAATCATTTGCTTCATCATTTCTTTCCAGCCCTACTGTCACTTTGATCATACTCACTCAAAAATTTTAAATTACAGTGGAATACGTATCTCTATAGAAAGGATTTTGAAATCATGAGAGTGGGAAAGTCGCAAGTCGTAAAGCACCCTGCATTTCAAGCAGTTTCGCTGTCCGTGCTGAATCAGCATACCAGACAGCATATTAAAGCCAAGCGAAAGAATCTGATTATGTCAAACTTGACGTAAAGCCACCTCATGTACACGGCACAATTTAGTCATTTCTGACAATCACCAATTTAGCATTACTATTTGCGGTTATCAGCGAAAAGTAGACGGAAGACACAAGAACATTGTGCGGGAATAGATAAATTGTTGCTGTTGCGTCAGCATCTTGTCAGAAACTACCGCAAGTAAGAAATAAACATGGCGCTTTCTGGATAGACGGTGTACAACCATTTCTTTATTGTAATAATAATAAGGTTTCCGATGAGTTGTGTGAGCTACAACTAACATTCACCTATTACTATTCTTATTGCAAGAGCTGACTTGCCAGTCATTCAAATCGTTTAAGCGAGCACTCGCAACCTTCATAAGATTACACAAAGAAATCCAAAAAATGATGTTGACGGCTCTTTTTTGAAGACCGCCCAGTACTAGGACAGCCAGTTTCGATTGAAGAATTAAAAATTCTTGTAATATGCTGTACTCTTTGGTATACTTTGATCAAGACCAATGGCATTGATTAATTGCGGCTTGGTCCATCACCTTTGATGCGCCCCCGTCTCAAGCTACGAGGCCCCGCCTCATGAGCTCATTTTCCATTTATTTTGCATTTTGCGCTCTTCCGAACATGATGATGTTGATGCGCGAAAGCGCACCTTTCTGTGCAGATTTAAAGTCCGATGCGACCTCGATTTCCCTAACCGAAGGCAGCGACTGTACGTCATCCATTGTTCAACCGCGTCGTAGCGGTTCGATCAAGTACTTGGATTGTCTTATCCCCCCTGCCGATCCCCAGCATCCGCTTCAGTTTATACATAAAACCAAAGCTGAAGAAGCCGATGCTACAGGCAATGGAATTGTTCGTGGGCATTCTTCACTTCCCTACCAGCAACGACAATTGCAACATTCCCGCTCATCAGTGTGCCAGTATGAATATGCCAACTTGAGTAACTCTTCGGCCACTTACCCGCTGCGGCCATCGCTTCATTACTCGGACAGCTCCGGCAACAAAAGTATTCGTCCATATCCGTACGAAGTACACGCCAGAGAGCCAAACATGGCTTTCAAACGCCGCCGATGCACTATCAGCGGCTCTAGTAATTGTAAGCGCTGCCGGATTGTGAATTGCGGCAAGATCTCGGTAAGTCGAGGTCTTTGCCGCGGACATGGCGGCGGCCGGCGCTGTCAACATGCTGACTGCACAAAGGGCGCTCAAAGCCGCAGTGAGTTTTGTTGGGCTCATGGCGGAGGTCAGCGATGCGAAGTCAAGTGCTGCATGCGCAGCCGCAAATCCAAGCGCTTCTGCGTGGCGCATCTCAATTGGGAGACCACTGCGGTGGCGCCTACAACTCCGACTTGCTCCCATCTCGAGGCGCTTCCTGTTCGCATGCAGCTTTTGACGCCTGTCGGACTCAACAAAATATCGCCTGCGAGCTCTACAGCTTTGAAAGGATCGCCAAGTCTTCCAAGTCTGCTCCAGGCATTGCGCAACACGAAATCGTATATGACAAAGATGGATTAAAAGTACCAGTGAATGACCTAGTTCATGATTTAAAACAGGCTGATATAAGCATTCGAATAATATATATAAACAAATTATTGCTCTGTTTTTTAATTATTCATCAAGGTGCTTTTTTATACTGTACGTCTCATAAGTTAAAACCCATTCCATATTGTTATGAAATGCGTAGCCCTTGCACATTAATTATAAACCCTGTCGAATTCAGACTAAATCAGTACTGTCCGAGTTGTATCAGCATAAATTGCAAAATCTTCGGCTTTGCTGTGTAAGCCGGCAAGGCACTTCACGTACATCTTGAGCTGTTTAAGCAATTGTTGTAGAACTCGAGTCCCTGCTCATTGACGGTATCAGATCTGCCTCCGGCATTTTGTTGATGAGCCTTGATACTCGTCGATCCAAGCATCAAACCTGGTTTATTTGTGCAAACTCATCGTCGGCATGTCCTTGTCTCCGCCGCTTTGCAAATGTTAAGGACATAGGCATTCCCGACTGCGATATATTTGTGTAGGCTAATATCTTGCTGGATTGCGATCCGCTAACTCATACTTGGTTCTTATAAAGAACGAAAGGTCGGTGACCCTAAGTATGCTTCCTCAAGCGCTAAGCTACGGCAGCCCCGCTGCACTTGGTAGCACTTGTAGTCAATCTTCACCTGCGTTGTTTCGACTGATCCTCTGTGAGGAAGGAGGAATTTTCCTCTGTGTCCCAGGGCATGCAAG